GGATTGGGCCAAGTGATGGATTCACCAGCGTCATCAAAGTGCCTGCACAGAACGTGCTCTGTCCCTTTAACTGTCTACTTCCTATCAAGTGGTGAATCAGTAACCCTATGCAGCGTAGGTCACTGCACCTGCTCCTAGCCTGTCGGATGTTCGGAAAGCTACTGAAACAGTGACAGTGCCCCGACTGGCACTGCATCACTGAATTCAAAGAGCAGAAGTCTGGAGTTTTCCTTCTCTCACTCACTGCCTTCACCAAACGTAGTGGAGATGCACTCACACCTAGCCTGGGAAAGGTTAGAAACACAGATCAACGTATGCCATTTCCCCTGTCTTAACTGAGATCTGTGTTTCGAATTAAGTTTTAGAATTTGATGCTAAACTTCGTCTCAGCTATGGTGAAATTTTATCCCCAAGGGATAGATCAGAAATTGGAGCATAGACTCTTTTTCTGGAGGTACATTTCTAAGCTAAGTTCCACAGACAAGGAAGCCCTTAAGTATTTTTCACTCCTTTTGCCTAATGTTTTCCACTCTTAAAAGGCAAATGGAGCCCACATTTCACTACCACATGTGTCAGTATAACCTAGCTGAGTACCATAGCAAAGCCTGGAGTGACAATGAGCACGATGACATTTGAGCCATTTTAACAGGATCCTTGGTGATTTGTGGACGCTGGGTTTCACTGAGATTTAGTCCTGTTCATAATGCTGGTTGATTTTATATACAGAGAGAGTACTGTCCCGTCTGTCGTGGTCTTTGCTTATCCTCTAGTGGATAGCTGCTCACAACACAGAGTGTCTTAGATATACAGCAGCCATTGTTTGGTGCAGCAGAACAAAGAATGAGGAATAAAGGAGAACAGAGAACTAAAGTCATCCACTCAGCCCAGTTATGTAGCATTGGAAATAGGATAAAGAAAAATGGGTTACGTCAGGAAATGCATTTTGGTAGATCTTCAAGAACCGAGAATAATATCCATGAACATTCCCAAGTCTTAAAATTTAGGAATTTCTTCTGGGCCCAGTTTCCATTCTAAGTTGCAATGGAAAAGTAACTTTCCGGTACTATGCTGGCCAAGTACTTACTCTTTGATCTGCTGCTTCTATGCATGTTATTGAGGACTAGGAAAGGATTGTATTTTTGAGAAATAGAGGGTCAAAAATTCTTTTTATTGGTCTCATGCTTTGTTACTATAATTCTTAGAACTAGAAACTTAGAACTGAACTAGAAAATTTGATCTGACATATCAAATGTGGCCTTGGCTGGCTGGAGGCCAAATTAGGCCGGTTAAGTTCAGTTCAACTTAAAAGGGCTGACATTAATGTGGAATGTCTTTTTTAATCTTAACTAAAATCAATGCTTTAGAAAACAACAGTCCAAAAGCGTAAGTAAAGGATTCACATGATATTTCTGGGCCCACTTGGTATCATGAAGTTTCTTATGTGCATGGATTTGAGAAAATGTGCATTAACAAATCACTTTGCCCAGCTCAGAGCCTACTTGACAGATCATGGAGTTGCCTGCAATGGAATGAAAACTGAGGAAGAAATAAGAAACACTTCTTAGAGTCTTCCAGGGTTTGGGTTGAAGTTTTTTGGAAGACATTTATGAAGATGGTAGAAAAAGTTGCACTAGATTTTCAGTATTTCTTTTTTTAATTTCGTATGTTCCATTATTTGCCCAGGAGACAAAAATAAATAAGATTTGAGCCAATATTAAGGTTTACTGCCTGCTGTGGCTGGGGTGGAAGTGGCAGAGTGGGATATAATGTTGCCTGGAATCTGTCCTGGAGTGGGATGTAATCAGTGAGTCATATGAAGAGGAGATTTTGTGGTCAGTATCTAGTCACATTCTTGCATCTAAATATTTTCCTGTAGTTGTGAGCAAATTTTAATTCTTTCTCTTTCAGTGTCAGACTGCCGTACAGAACAAGAGAAGTGCAGTACAATAAATGACAGTCAATGATATGCTTTTGATATTTATAGGTGAAAGTTTTGATGAATTTGTGACACAGTCACAGTATTTCTGTGGAGAGGGACACAGTGGGATACCCTGGTAGACAGAAATACACAAGAGCAATAATTTAATCAAATGACTGCAGGTTGTAGTCAGACACCTTCAGTTTCATGAGTTTCAGAGATGAATCCCATTTCTTGACGAATAGCAACATGTATTGCCTCAATATTTCATAGGCCAGGTGGGAGAACTACTACATTTTTATATTGCTAAATTAGAACCCAGACATTGTTTCATACATGGTGTTGTATAAGCATGTAGTGAGAGGCAATTCCTGCCTCAACCAGCAGATGATCTATGTAAACAAAATGGGATAGTGGATGGAAAGAGAACTGGCTGAGGTCATCACAGCAATTCAATGATTATGTTGGCAACAGTCCTGTGAGTCTAGCTGAAGTGCTTTACCACTTTAGAGAGCACTGGTTTGTTAGGAATGCTGAATAGCCACATGATGGGAGATGACTTGAAGTTAGAACAATCTACATGCCCATTTAGCACCTGCTTTCCTCTCCCCTTTTCCGTCACCCCATTTCCATCTCTTTATGGTAAAGGAAAACTATTTTTCCCTTATACATGTGCTTTGTATACTGGGTTTTTCTTGCTACAGCTCATGTTTTCAGATCAACACTGGCTCCTGGCAACAAAAGAATAAGCATCATTTCCCAAATCTACTGAAATTTTTTGTGCTGAGAGCCCTGTGCCTTGGATGTCAGCCTTGATTTAAGGGGAAAAAAGGGGTACAGTGGAGAAAGCTGGAGAAGAGGCATGGTTTCTTTAAAAATGCAAATGAGATAATTCTGTTTAGATGTGCCCCCTCAGACCCTCTTAAAGCCTGACACTTTGCTCTTCTTTTCCCAAAGCTGCTTGTTTTTACACTTGACCTGTAGTACAGATCTCACTATAGCTGTGTGTGTGTTGATGGTGGAGGGGTAGAGGGCCCAGAATGGCTGCCTCCACGCCTGTCTGAACAGCATGTTCTCCTGCAGACGAGCGGAGCGCGGATGGTCAGGGGGAGGAATGGGTTTCCATGCTGAGTCTTGCCACCTGTTGCCTTTTTCATTCCAAGCTCCCCTTCCTCCTCCACCCACCCACCCCAAGTTTCCCTCCCCACACTGCTCAGCATCCCCAGTGGATAGGGCTGGGATCAGTAGTCACTTGCCAAATACCTTTCTAATGCTGTCACTAATTCTGCACAGGCAGTATATCTGAAAGCAGAAATGAATCTTTTCCAATGCATTGTCCTGTGTTTTCTACAAAAAGCATTTAGAAATGCCTTTTCTTAGTTGGGTAGCTGGGAGGGACCATGCTATAGCTATTTACAGAGTCAACCCTAAGAAAGCCTGAAGCTGTGCCAAAAGAATCCTTTGCAAATCCATTGAAGTTGGCACTTGGCACTGGCATGGCTAATTTTACACTTGCGGTTACACATATACACACCCATGTCATTCTACTTCATCTGCTACATATGGAAAGCTGCCCCAAGCTCCAGAGTGCCAGAGAAGGTTTAGTAAAACCTCCAGACTTGGTTTGATTATGTTACTGTGCACATTGAGCTGTGGAAGCTGTAAGAGTGGTGTGTGCTGCCAGTTGAACTGGCATTAACTAGATATTCATCAGCTTGAACCATAGTTTTGCACTGCTGCCCTGCTCAAATGAAAGTAGAAGATTGTTCATGTTCTTGATATCATAGTTTCCCTCCAAATTAAGGAGTGTGAAAGGAATAGTATTGATCTAGTTATATAGCTGTTGGTTTTGTCTGCAAGTCAGTTGAGAGTCTGCTTTCAGTTCCACATGTAGTCTCCAGGTAAAGTCATTTAGGTCACAATTTTCAAAAGTGAGTAATCATTTGGAGAAACAGTCTTTGAGTTCTTAACTTAAGATGCCTTAAAGGGGACTGGCTTTCAGAACACAAGTTACTGGCAAGCAAGATCCTTTCTTTCATTGGCAACTTGACCTGTTTTGAAGCATTTTGGGCTTCTCAGAATTTTGCCCTTCACATGTGTCTGTGCATCTGTAAAATGCAGGAATGAATACTTGTTTGCCCTCAAAAAGCACCATGAGAGGTAGGGGTGGAAAAATTTGGTGCAAACAGGAGCTATTGCTAATTACTGCAGTGTGGTTCTGCCACCTTACTTAGAACTGGGTTGGATGGGAATATGGAAAGTATCCAAATTGCAAAAAGGAAGGAAGAAAGAAAGGAAGAAAGAGAAACAAAGACAGAAACAAAGGTGGTATGTTCCTCTTTCATTATTTGCAGTCATGATGTAGAACAAGGTCCTGAACCTTCTCCCCACTGCTGATAGACTTGTTTGTGCTGGCAGGGCTTCATGCTGGTATCCACAATGCACCAGTTAAACCAGTAGTTACCAATTTTTTTGCAAGCCACACTGGGGCTGTAGCAATTTTATTCCTTCACAGTGTTGAAGCAAAGGGATTCTGCTTGCCAAAGGGCTTTCTTATGCTTGAGGATGATTTATGGGCCAAGCTGAGCCTCTTGTGGAAAAGGCAAAGCAGCTCTTGGCAGCACCCCCAGAATTCACTGCAGCTGTGGGGTAGTGAAGTCATCGGCATAACAACCGCTGCAAACAGAATAACAAAGTCTGTTCTGTTCTCATTTAAAAAAGCTGTCCAGTTCAGCAACAACATTAAAACTTACCTTTCTGCATACAAAAATAATAAGAGCAGATATTTCTCTGCAGCCTGGTGTAAATGTCTTGCTTATATTCCTGCCTGATTATTACTCTTGCACCATCTACCCTTTATCTGGGTATTTTAGGTGAAAGAATGAAACCACATTATGTCATGGAATATGTTTATGCCTGTCCCTTGTTTTTATTCATTTGTTATTCCTTCAGTTGCAGTCATGAAATGACCATTTGCTTTAAAAATGTAAAAAAAAAGAAGAGTATTTTTTACTTTTAGATACAAAATTTGCTTTTGTCTTGTACCTTCTTTCTAAATTTTTCCTGTTTGTCTTTGTTCCAGGTCCCTTCAGATCCTCCTGCTTCCAAAAAGCCCAAAATAGATGACTCTGCTTCCCAATCTCCAGCTTCTACTGAGAAGGAAAAACAGTCCAGCTGGTTACGGTCCTTATCCAGTTCATCTAATAAGGTGATTACTGAGTGTTTTGTGCTTAAAAGAGAGATGAGATTAGCATGTAGCATCCCTCTAGTGCAACCAGAAGAGAAAACCAGAGAAAGACGTTGCCCAGGTTTTGTAAATTTTTAGCATTTCTCTTCTTTTCCTAGCAAACATTCAGCTATACTGTTCTCCCAGTTTTCTTGCCATCTTTCAGTGTGCACTGGCCTTGCTTGTGAGGATGAAGTAAGCAATTCCTTCATGCCTTTGAGGTACAGGAATCCTGAAAGGCTAAGGAGCTTCATGTGGTCTCTGCAAACCACATATAAATTCTTGGCAAGGGAACAACCATGCAGGATGTTACATTAGTACAATTCACCCCTTCCAGTGGAACCTGCTAAGCAAGTAGGTCCTAGCCAGTGGGGGATCAGTTCTAGAGATAACAGAATGTGTACTTAAAAGCATCACTAGTGCTCCATTGTGATTATACTTCAAAAGGATTGTCCAGTATTTATTTATTTTTTATTTATTTTTCTTTCCTCTCTTTCCTAGAGTATTGGCTGTGTCCATCCCCGTCAGCGTCTCTCAGCTTTCCGGCCCTGGTCTCCTGCTGTATCAGCAAATGAGAAAGAGCTCTCAACACCTCTTCCTGCATTGATTCGAGACAGGTAAGGAGACATGAACTGAAGGGGGCCTGGGGTTAGCAGCTGTGGAGATGCTACAACAAGTTGTTTTACTATTCTTCCCATGTGCTGCTGCTGGTGGCTTTGTCATTCATTCAGTTCAGTCCACTGGCATCAGAATAAAAGCATTTGCAGCTGCAGTGTTTTAATTAGGAGAAGGGAAACAAACACACAGAAAAAGTGTCAGTATTTAGTGCATTCATTAGATGGGTTTTCTTAGGTGAAGCAATGCCATAAAAGTCTGAAATGAAGGCTGTTTCTGTAAACTATTGATAATTTGGGGGTACAGTCACCAGAACCTTCAGGGCTTTGCTGTTTAAAGAAGGATTGTGCTTTTCACTCAGGGCAGGTGGTCAGGGACCAGACAGCTGCTGATTGGTAACTGCAACAGCTCTGTAACAGTGGACTGTCACCACATTGCCAACAGCTGCATTCTGTCTCCTGTATTGACAGTACCATAGGAAGCCCAGGAAGCTGAATGGACAGCCCAGCGTACCCCTACTCTCCTGATGGCGAGTGGTCTTGGGAGGTCATGGTAGAGCACGCTGGGCCAGGAGAGTTTGTGGAAAGCTCCTCAGTCTGTAGGACCCATTGAAAAGCTGATGTTATAGGCCGGATTCTGCTCTAGGATGGGGACATAATTAAATTGGTACAAGAATCAGCTCCAATCTCTAATAAATATGTGTGCCTGCCGGTGTCACATTTACAAAAAGCATCAGGGCAGCCATACATTCCTTTGCCAGACTCAACGGTTTGCCAACTGTTGAATCTGAAAAATCATAATGCCAGGTTTCTGCCACAGGTGGTGGTGGTGGTGGTGGTGGTGGTGGTGGTGGTGGTGGTGGTGGTGGTGGTGGTGGTGGTGGTGGTGGTGGTGGTGGTGGTGGTGGTGGTGGTGGTGGTGGTGGTGGTGGTGGTGGAGAAAAGGGGTAAACTGGTGTAAGACTATCCCTTTGTTGTCCCTGTGAGAAATCTGGCCAACTTATAAGTCTCAAAAAAGCAAAAGGTTTAGTAGGAACTTTAATATATTAGATTGAAGAGCGCATTGTATTGTAGATGCTGAATTAAAGTTGCAAAGGCAGTCTTCACTATGCAAACTTCTCTGTATTTGCTATTATAGCATTAATATCCTTTTAACATAGCTCTTTGTTTTTGTTTTTTAATGTAGCTTTGTTTTTTAATGTAGCTTAACATACATGCACTCAGGTCCATGCTGTGTCAAGAAATTAATGATATACAAGAATATGCTGCTTGTGCTCTCACGGCCTTTCTTCAGGAAGTACTGTTCCCAAGGTTGCAAAACATTTGTGGATAGGCAAGTAAAACTTGTCTATTTAGGAAAGTCAGTAATGCAGGAGGATCAAGGGGAAACAGCATCATAATTTTTAAACACTGGGAGATCTAATCTGCTTGGTGCTTAGAATATGTGGTACTTCAAATATAATACCTCCTGAACTGGATGGAGATTACCCGTATAAAACTCCTGTACATTTAGAGGAATGCAAAACACTTAAATATATAGTCAGAGCCTTTGCTGCTGGTATAAATCAATCAATGCTGCACTATCATAAAAGAAAGTTTCTTGCTGTTTTGGTGTAACGCACAGATTAGGAAACATTTTAAAGGCAAGAATATGACTGTTTTCTCCTTCCTGTTTTTTTGCCTCTCCTTCTCAAACAGTTTTTATTCCTACAAAAGCTTTGAGAATGCTGTGGCTCCCAATGTGGCTCTTGCACCTCCTGCCCAACAGAAAATTGTAAGCAACTCTCCTTGCGCCACAGTAGTATCACGGAGTAGCGAGCCAATGAGCAGCACTGTCCAGCCACGGAAAAGAAAACATGCTGCAGAGAACCCAGCCGTCCCAGAAGCAGTGGCCACTGTTACTGCCACTGAAGAGGATAAGGAATCAGAAGCAGAAATTGAAGTAGAAACCAGGGAGGAATGTAAGTGACAGTTACATCTGCCTTTATTTTTTTTTTTGTTTCATTTGTACTGAATTTTCCACAGTAATCCACAGGAATTAGCTGCTCAACTCCTACTGTATTTAAACATAATTCTGAAAGGCTAATATCCCAACAGGATGTAAAAATACAGCTTTAAGTAATAATGAAAAAACAGAAACAGAACATAAGTTACAGGGAAGTTTTCCTGGGAGAGGACAGAGGTGCCTCTGCAAAAAGAAGCACCTGCACCAGAAGTGTCCACAAGCCTGGAGTCTTTCATTAAAATAGATAAGTGCCTGTGCAAGGGGGGACATACTATGTTTTGTTTGCATAAAAATTGTGGGTTTTTTTAATCTGATCAAGCGCCCTCTATACAAACCTTCCTGGGATATGCACAGATACCCCATAAACATTCCAGAATGCATATGCATGCATGCTAGTGTGAAACTTTATGTCAGATGAAGAATGTAGTTCATATAGTTTCAGTACTGCATTGATGGAGTTGAATACATAAAGCAGTTGAATATACATCAAGAGCCAATATGTTCTTAAACAGTATTCATCAGATCTTGAATCCCTCTGTGAAAGATGAAGATACTGATCTCACCTCATTAATAAGTCACCAAGAAAATTCTACTGCTGACTTCATCAAGTCCAAACCTTGCTCAGTACACGTAGTTTATGCAAAAGAAGAAATTTTACCACAGAAAACCCCAGGATCATGTAGGTCTCCCTGAAAGAATCAATTACTTCATATGCATGGAGAAGACAATGTTCGTGATGCAAATCCTAAAGTCACAATTCAAGCAAATTCAAAGTTGGTCCTATAGAGAGTCAGATTTGCATTTTCATCACATTTCAAGTATCAAAGCATAACATGAGTGGGTTTTCTTTTTCCATTCTTTTTCACCGATTATTGAATATCTCCACTTTGCAAAAGGGCCTTAGCACATTTTGAGTTTTAGTAGTTTTAGACATTTTTTTTATTAATTTTAGATGTTTCTGTTTTTCAGTCACCTCCTCCTTATCCTCGCTCTCCTCCCCATCCTTTACTTCATCCAGCTCTGCAAAGGACATGAGCTCACCTGGGATGCAAGCCCCAGCCACAGTCAGCACTTCGTATGAGGTTGCAACACATTCTGACTCTCACAGCAGTGGATTGGAAGCTGAGCTGGAGCACCTAAGGCAGGCCCTGGACAGTGGCCTAGATACAAAAGAAGCCAAAGAAAAATTCCTCCATGAAGTTGTTAAAATGAGAGTGAAGCAGGAAGAGAAGCTAAATGCTGCTTTGCAAGCCAAACGCAGTCTACATCAGGTAATTCTAAAATTCAGCTTTCTCTTATTCCTGCCTACATGTATTCTTCCAGGTAGAAACCATTAGCCAGTCTCATTAGCTAGTCACATTAAAAAACAAAAAAAGAAGCCTCATTTTCCCCAAACGACAACAGTATTCATTGAAGTACTGTTTGTAAATTCAGCCAGAAGACCAGAATATACAGGAACCATTCTTACATTTTTAAGCTTGCTACCTGTTCTTGCTTTAGGGTGTAAATCCATGTTTTTTAAAACAAAAAACAAGCATCTTTTCATTACTGAAAACAATCTTGTAGTCCAGCACAGTTTATTATTTTTTATTTTCACTGAGCTAGAAACATTTCTGTCCTTATGGAGATTTTATCTGTAGTTTAAAAGATTTGTAAAAATCCCACCATTGCCCAGTTGAGGAAAGTGTAACTGCTGAAGCTCTGATGAGGTGCTGAAACTACCAGTCTTCATTAAGCTTTCCATTAGCTATGCTTCACTGGACATTTCCTGTTCTCATTCAGTGGAAAAGCTCCTCATCTTTGTAAATCCTTGATATCTCTCTCCTACCAAAGAAAGAGTGGTCAGATAAAAAAGCTGCAGATATGTGCTGGCTATTAGCAAATCACAGTGACTGAACAGAAAGAGGGGTTTTTTTTGTTTTGTTTTTTTTTTACTGTGCGATAGGGCAAAATCAGTATGTAGAAATGGAAGATAGAGCGCAGTCAGAAGATTTTCATGTCCTCTGTAAATGTTTTAAGGGGAGCTGTAACCATCCTAGAAATGTAATCCATTAGATAGATCTGGGGTGCCAACTGTAAAGTAAGGGCCTTATTTCAGAGAATCACAGAATGATTGAGGTTGGAAGGGACCTCTGGAGATCATCTCGTCTAACCCCCCTGCTCAAGCAGGGTCACCTAGAGCACATTACCCACGACCATGTCCAGACAGCTTTTGAAATTCTCCAAGGATGGAGACTCCCCAGCCTCTCTGGGCAACCTGTTCCAGTGCCCACTCACCCTCACAGTAAAGAAGTTTTTTCTCATGTTCAGGCAGAACTTCCTGTATTTGAGTTTGTGCCCATTGCCTCTTGTCCTGTCTCTGGGCACCATGGAGAAGAGTCTGGCCCCATCCTCTCAACACCCTCCCTTCAGATATTTAAACACACTGATAAGGCCCTCCCCCCCCCCAAGTCTTCTCCAGGCTGAAGAGTCCCAGCTCTCCCAGCCTTTCCTCATGTGAGAGATGCTCCAGTCCCTTACTCATATTAGTAGCCCTTTGCTGGAAGGTTTCATCTACCCTGGGGGACAAAAAAAACCCAGTACTTCTTGTCAAAATCAGGTATGTGCAGCTGTGTTTGCTGGCACATAACATTTTCGTTTGTTTTGGGGAGTGAAACAAAGGGCAGTAGCTCAGAGATATGATTTGTATGTAGTATGACTCTGCTGTGTTAAAAAAATGGTAGTAGATTCAGATATTCTAACAGGAAGGAGGAGGTGAAAGAGAGATAGTAGTAAGTGCTTAGATATGAACACAATTATAATTTTAAACAGAATTTGCCTACTTATATTCCTGTTAGGGGTACAGTACAGCAACCCAATTTCTATGCTGCTTATCTCTCATGTGAAGGTGGCTTGTGTTCTAGCTGCAGGTTCAGGTCCCAGAGTTTGTTCTTTGTGACCATGGGCAAATTACTTCATTTCCTTGTGTTTTAGTGAATGTATGTATATATGTATATATTTAAAAGTAAGAATAAGAAACATATTTAAAGGTAATTTTTAGGTATGTAGACTAAATATACAGCATATACTTCAAATGTAAATTATGTGAAGTAGTTGACAAAACAAGAGTTAAGCATTGAGGCATTAAATGAAGCAGTGTGTCAGAATGAGGGGGAATATGGCATCTGACTGTCATTTTCCATTTGGGCAACTGTGGGTTTCCAGTTCCACATACACAGAAAGTAGATGCGTGCATGCTTCCAGTGACAAGGCTGGGCTAACAATGGCCTGGCTGGGAACTGAGATTGTCTAGAGAGTGAATTTCCCATGACCTGACTGCAGTGTTACTTAACAGAAACACAGTGCTGTGAGGTTTTGTCTCTGACAGGGAGGAAATGCTGCTTCTGGAAAAAAAAAGGAAAAACTGCACTTGAGCTTAGCTTGTCGAATTTAACCATTTAGGAGACAGATCTTTAGTGAGACATGTTTTTTCAAAGCAGAAGTATGCTTGTGATGCACAGGCATCTTTTAACACCTCTTTAACAACCTTTTAACATCTTTTTAACAACTTCTGAGTTTCTTCCTCTGTCCTTTGAGTTTCCTTATTGTTATCACTTTAATTAATGGCTTTCTCTTGGGTTTGAGATTTCATGGTAGCAGTTAAGAACCTGCACAGGAAGAGAGGCAGTTCCCAGAGTGAAACATGGTTTGGATTTAGCTTAGTTTTTAGCCTGGAGTTTCCCAAATGTTATGACAGAGCAGTTCATTGGCTACTTGCCAAGAGTCCTAAGGTAACACTACTCACAAGTTAACCATAGCATAGCAGAATTGCTTAAAATTTATAAAGACAATTTGTTATTTTTCCTCATACCTTTCATAAGGTTGGATTTTTTTTTTTCTTGTTAAAATGGAACTGCTTACTGATTTCTCCGGCAAGTAGTAAACTTTCTTGTTCAGCTTTGCTGTACACAAAGGTCATTCACAAACTGCATTTATCATAACACTGTGCAGCCTCAGTTCAGTGATTCCAATTAAGGTGCAGGCATTGCAGTTGATTCATTTGAAATTTTAAGCTAGTGTAGGATGCATTGCAAGTAGCTGTTGCCAACTCCAGATCATCTTTATTCAGTCACAGATGGTCACAGCTATTTCGCTTGACAAAGCAAAATGTGGCTGTAGCGTAGTGTTTTATTATCCAAGAATTCAGGGTAAGTTTGGCCTAGGATTTCATGTCCATTTGAAGGAGAAAAGTTTGTATGAAGTTTTGAAGCAGGTTTAGACATAAGCCTTCCCAGTCAGAATTAATAGAATGGTGGGAATTTAGTTTTGATCTCTTCCTGTACAATTCAGTTTCTTTGCATTAATCTAGTTCCTCAGTTCTCACAAGTCTAACTACTTGTGTATTCTAGGAGCTGGAGTTCCTAAGAGTAGCTAAGAAGGAAAAACTGAGAGAAGCAACAGAGGCAAAGCGCAACTTGAGGAAAGAGATTGAACGTCTGAGAGCTGAGAATGAGAAGAAAATGAAGGAAGCCAATGAGTCTCGGATACGACTAAAGAGGGAACTGGAACAAGCCAGGCAGATCCGGGTTTGTGACAAGGGATGTGAAGCAGGCAGGCTTCGGGCCAAATACTCAGCCCAGGTAAGACCCACTGAAAGCTTAGTGCAAGTACCTTATTGCTTCTGCAGTTTTCAGGGTTAGTTCCAGTATCTACTCTTCCTCTGATGCCAGTGTGCCTAGTTTTCTCTAATTTGATATATCTCCAACTCCCTCTGTATAATATCTGTGCCCCTGTCATGTCAATTTACAATCCTAGTCTTAATGCAAGGTGTTAAGAACTTCCCTGCACTTGGACCACCTGTGTCAATCCCACAATTTTGCCTAGAGCTTTGCACATTTATCAGCTGAAAATCACCATTTAGAGAGAACAAAGACAAATGCTAGACATTATTTCAGTTCCACTTAAATTCTTTTGACTGTGTCAATACATTGGGATGCATTTCACTACTGTAAATATTAGGCAGAGTCACTTTCTATAATAGGATAAAAGATAAAGATCAGCCTAGACCTAGAGGAATTATTTAAGATGAAGAAAGAGCTAGGGCCCACCAATAAGCAAGCTGCAGGAAGGAGTGTTATTTACAGTGGTAAAGCACAAGAAGAACAAACTCTCAGGTCTAAGAAAATACTTCAGTGTGATCTCAGTGAAAGTTCTAGGAATGCAGGAACATGTTGTTACAAGTAATATGTATGCTTTAAACTTTCAAGTTAAAAACCTTCCCACCCTCTCCACATCAGAGTCTCTTGTAACAAATGATTTAAGTTTCTTTAAACCATCCAAAGCCAAGTGAACCAAGAGCTGGGGCTGCACGTCCTTAAGTCGCCTTGTTGTGTCTTGGTGTTGCAGGGCATGTGGAATGCAAGGCCATCCACTGTTCCAAGCCCTCTGAAATGACCCAGCATAACAGGCTGAGCTGAGAGCAGAACGGCAGCCTCCTGGATTTTCGTGAGAAACAGTCCCGAAGAGGAATCCATTGCATGTCCCGCCTTCCCTTTCCTCCAGTAAAACAATCCCAGTTGCCCAGTAATGCCTTTCCTATAAAAGGGCATGGTTCCACATCCATTGTTAACTCCCTCAAGCTCCCCCTTCTCTGTAGAGGGGGGGCTCCCAAACAGACCCTCTCCTTAAGACTAACTCATCTTCCTTTATCTGCCTCCCCTGTAGCCCTGCTCTGATCAGCTCCCACCTAAATCTCCCTCTGCCAAACCAGTTCCCCTGCCAGTGGTTCCCAAACCAAAAGCCTGGTTGAGAAATGCATAAATAAAAGATATGGGTCAGCAAGAATTAACAGCAAATGGCTTCTGAAAGATGGAGCACATTTACCTAAATGTAAACTCCTACAGCACAGAGATAAGTATCACTTACATACAAATGCTGCATATGTATCACACGTTTGTAAGAGGCTTAACTTGCATATTGTAATATACCTGGATCAGTGTTAAAGGGACTTCTTCTAGACCATATGTAATAGAGGAACTATTCTGATATTTTGTGCATGCTGTTAAACACATGCTTCCTATGTGAAGTTGGATTGCATGTTATTACTCCTAAAGCATGAGCTGCAAATATTCTGTTTGGTTATTTTAAGGAAGGAGGTAAAAAAGGAAAAGAAAAAGAAACAGAAATCTGAAATTCTTCTAACCCCAGGCTCTCAATAACGGGAAGGGGAGTGGTCCACTTGTACCACTATGAGACATGTCTAACCAGGAGACCAGAAGCAGGAAATGATGTGGGCTTCCTCTCTAGCATCACAGGATGTCTCACTGATAAGAGGTGTCCAGACTAAACATAACCAGATTGAGAGCTGCTGCACTGGGCGTTACCTGCAGTTGACTTCCACTTCAGCAAAAAAACAGGGCAACAGCAAGTGCAGATAAAATAAACTGCATACTTATTGGATTACAGTTTAGCAAATCTGAAGGTGTGGCCTCCCTTGTGTTGTGACAGGCATGAAAGTTTTGACAATGTGGATTTTTCAGTCTCCTGTTACATTCCCTCCTTTTCATGGGGAAAGACTAAACTCTCAAAAAACATTCCAAGTAGCTGAAGAGTCTGCAGGTTTGTATTTTCTAAAGACACAGCACTTTTGCAATATTGATTGTAGCAGCCTGTTGTACGTACTTGAGCTCGCTGTTATAGCACTGGAGTGCAGTGTAATGGTATAAGGATGCACTACATTAGGGCTCAAAAGCAGTAAAGCTGTATTAGTACTGTGCTTGGGCTAAATAACGGGGCAACTAATGTTTCAGGCTCTGGAATAAATGCCTTCTTATTTAACAGCTACTTCTGAGAGTTCTGCATGGCACTTCATAGAAACATATCCTAAGTAACTTCAAAGCCTGACTTTTACAAGACGTTAATAGGACTTAAGTTTCTAACTCATGTAAGAAGTTTTAAAACAAAGCTTTATACAGCCTTTTAGCTTAACTCTAATTTGGCAAATACACACAGGAAGTTTCTCATTTATGTTGTATACTTTGCTTATTTTTTTTTTTTGAGGAAACCACAGTTCTGTAGCCAGGCTTAGTCTGAGAGAAACAGCATCAAGCAGGCATGAGAGGAAATTAAACAGCAACTTGAGTGTTGTACATTTCTATAAGTAGACTTACTTAAAGAATTAGATGCTAAATTCTTACTGAATATCACTGTGGTTTATGCCTCCTATTTCCTTATCTTGGTACTGAGATCCAAGTTTTGGGGGGGGGGTGTGGCAGGGAATCCTTCATTTTAGTCCAAAAGGTATGAGTTTTTCTTTCCTCTAATAAAAGCTAGTGTACTTGATCGGAGGTAGCCATGATACTGACAGAGTCAAATATGTGTGAGAGCTATAAGGGTTGAATAGTATTTAGCAGTTGCATTGGCAGAAGGAACTGCTAGTCTAATATGCTGAGAGCTTAAAAATTCTATTCTTACAAAATGTTGCAGGTGGGGTTTTTTTTTTTGTTTTGTTTTGTGTTTTTTAGCTTCAGCTGACTCAATCCACAATTGTTGAACCCCAGAGTATTTTCTATGGCCAGTGCTCAAAAAAAAAAAAAAAAAAACAGACTGACTGCTGAGGTCTTTGAGGAGGCTGAGACTATCATCTGCTGAAAGTAAGAAAAATAGGGCATAAGACCTCAGCAAGTAAGTGCTCCTCTTCTAAGGATATTTGGTACATCTTTTTCTTCATGCCCTTTTCTGTGCAACGTTAGTAGCTATTAGAACTTGTTTGAGCCCCTTCCTATCCTGAGACGTCCAACTTATTTATGGGTTGAAATAGTGCTAATTTGGACTGTCACTTGGAGAGTTTCTGGTGGCTCAGAATATTCCATCCCTTTTTGTCCCCCACCACCTGACCCATACCTCCAGCTCCTTTGTATCCGTTCCCACTAAGTGCTTTACTGTGGCCATCATGACCCCTTACAGTCCCTTACATGTAATACAACAGATGTAAAAAGTTCTTGTATGAGAGGACATTACAATTGGTTTTGCTGGACATGACTATACTCATAGCATATATTTTTTTAATATATATAAATAAAAAAATATGCTATGAGTATGTTTTTTTGGTCATTCACATTAACAACCATTGTAAAAAATATCTGAAATTGCTCTAGCTTTGCAAGTTTAGCTTGCCGCTTGCTTTGCTGAATTGCTTTCTGCCTAAAGAAATAATAAGGGTATAAGATGTACACTGGCTGGAGTTTCAGAAAAAAAAAAATTAAGACACCCTTAACTCTTCTAGTTTTGATATTAAAACATTCACCCTCCTTTCTGATATTTAAGCCACGAGAAGTATTTAATAATGTCAAAGCTAAATAGTTCCTGTGGTGACCTTGGATTATTGTACAGTGGTGCATGGAAAAAGTAGGTACAAGGGAATTCCTTCCTCCACCTCTGCTTTGATCATCTTATGCCTGGCAGCATGAGGTTTTATTACTCATCTCACTTTGTATTAAGCTACTACGCTGTGTTTAAGTCTACAAAATGACAATGGTACTGAAATGTTACAGTAGTTTATGATATTTCTTAATATGCTTTTCTCTAGATTGAGGACCTACAGGTTAAGCTTCAGCATGCAGAAGCTGACAGGGAGCAGCTCCGAGCTGACCTGATGCATGAGAGGGAGGCTCGAGAACACTTGGAAAAAGTAGTCAAGGAACTTCAGGAACAACTGTGGCCTAAAGCAAGCAATCAACCCAGCAGTGAAAACACAATGAACAACCTTGAGAACTAAATAACCACCACACCATCTAATACACATTCAGAATGCTGTATATGCACAGTAAGGGAGGATGTGTGGGGGTACGTGTGTAAGTGCATGTGTGAGTAGTTGCGTCTTAACACACATCCATGAATACAGACTCTTACATAGTTGGAAGGCAAATGTTACTCTTCATAACAGAAGCACTGAATTACATCTTTTTGTTTTTTGAATCCATACAGCACAACATCTTACTGTGCCTATAAAACACAAAGTGTTTATAACAAAATACTTCTAAGTCCACAACAAACTTTCTACTGGCAGACTCCAAGCAAGCAGCATCGTCCAGCTAAAATCAGAGTAAAGGCAAGCGTGGCAATGTTTTTATGTTGCCTTTCTGCCTGTTGGAACATTTTGGAATTTAAAAAACAAACAAACAAACTTTTGTTATAAGCTATTTAAAATAATTCATTATACAGACTTGGTATTAAAACAATTAACAAGATTTTTATAATGAACCTTTAAGAGCAAAACAAAAATCTTCAATGCACAATTTTTAATGACTTGTTATAGGCTTTGGGATTCTTAATGTAGAAGCCCTCTGGTGATGATGCCATTTCATAGCAGTTTTCCAGCCATTTAGGAAGCCATCACAGTTTTAACCCTGTCACATAGTTGTATGAGAATTTCAGAGTGCTTTTCAAAAGTTGATTTTTTTTTTTCTTAGAAACAATTATCTTCATTTCCTATGCTGAAGAAAGGAAGATGTAGGTAAGAGGACTGTAAGAAGGGAGGGGGAGAAGATGTATGCTTGAGAATTATAAACTCAGCCTTATGGACTTCAGTGTTTGTAAATCATGCCATATTCTCTAAAGACATCTTCATTAACTGGTGTATTCAAAAGACTCACTTCATCCAAGAGCACTTCAGCTTTAGGAAAAGAGAGAAGGAAATAAAGGAAGGAAATGGATGATCTGTTAAGTTGGTTGAGAAATAAAGCAGAAGGCACATGCATTTTGAAGTCATTCTGAAATCTTTACTTCAGCTTTTGGTTTTCTGGAAAACTCGTCTCTGTTGCACCATGTTACCATACATTCAGTATTTACCTTATTCTGAACTGCTTGTCAGGATTACTGTGCCCAAGGAGAGTGCAACATCACATTATCGAATACTACAGAAAAGAAAAACAACACTTTTGCTGCTGTGAATAAGCCTACATTTTTTTTTTTGTTTATGTTACTTTAATTTTGGGATCCAAGCCGCAGCCCCAGAATAAAAATGCAGCATGTCATCACTTTGTGTTATTGTTGTTGTTATTGTTGTTAATATTATTTTTTTTAAAAAAGAACTGCACTTTGTCAGAAACTTTCTTTGCATTTTATTCCATAGTTTTAACGTTTACAAGATGAGCATTCTAGATTCTACCCTGCCTAATTGATGTGAAAAATCATCGACCCAGTTTTCCATCATGTGATACCTTGTGTCACCATTTAAATTTATGCAAAGTGAGTATTCAGCAGGTATAGAATGCTACCAAATGAGAATTATCCAGAGCAGTGCACTACTGGTTCTGTTTTAAACCTGTTTTTTGCGTGGTGTCTCTATCAGAATATGGGAGGCACTAGCAAGTGCGCTCCCAGAAGTGCTTATCAAATACAGTTGGTGCTTTACTGAACAAGAGAAAAGGATTTATTTTTTTTTCCACCCACAAACACTCACCTCTTATACACTCAAGCTTATGAGCATAAGGTGAAAATTTGACCTGGGGCTGCAGATGTGCCTTCCAGCTCATTTTTCCTCTCAGCATGTTATATATAGGAAATGCTGATGCTTTTTTATCTCAAAAAAAAAAAGAAAGGAGAAAAAGAAAACCCTCTGCATCATCATACACAGAAGTTACTGAAAACAAAGAACCATATTTCCAGTAGTCTTTATTTGCTTTCGGACATTAATCCCAGTAGATGGAAAATGGCTGCCAATCCTAAAATTATAGTATTTACTTACAGTATGCGAGAGAGACTTTTTTCAACAAGAGCTGTTTGCTTGAAACCATTATAATAACCATTGTAACTGTGAGCATTAACAAGAAGTAAAGTTCATATATATGTTTTAGGTACAAAAAGAAGAAATATGAAAGGAGTTGAATTACTGGGACAATGTAGAACTCTGGGGAGCAAAAAACAGTTATATCACATTAAATTACATGAAACTGTCCGTTTATATAGGGCTTTGCCCTTGTGTGTTTGGGATGCTGGAGACTGAGTCTAGGTGCAGCTCTCCTCGTCTAAAGTGCAATGCAAAAGGAATATTGATTATGCTTATGCAGTTTTTTTTATGTGGATTTTTTTTTGGTGTCTTTTTGTATGTTTTTTCTGCAATTATTAAATCATATGCATGGAATTAAAAAAATCTCTGCCATACTTATATATTCACTAAGGGGCATTATTACTGTCTTATGTAAAGGGTTTATTTTGTTATGCAGTATGCATAAAAGTGTTCTCAGCCTTATGATTTCCAGATCTGTATTATTCAGTTATTTCTTCAAGGGAAACTAAATAATTTTAACTATAGCTGATCTTTTGTATTTCAAAGATCTGATATATGCTGTGCTTTATTGCTATGTTAAGAAATTACACATAGAACAAAATCTGGATTTTTTTTTCCCCTCCCACTATTGGCTTTTTTGAAGCCTTAATTTTTAAATTTTGATTTTTTTTCCTGTCCTCTGATTGTGTCTCTCCCCTTATGACTCAACAAAAAAAAAAACTGCAGCATGTCTGTCTGTATTTGGTTTTGTTTTGTTTCTACAGGAAAAGTGGCCCACTTACCTGCAGCATGTCACACAATTTTTTTCTTGTGTTCCTGGGCGCACACACTGATTGATTCACTGGCATAATTTCTTCTGTGCATATGATGTTTTTAATCCTCCAGAATGAATAAATTCTGTATTTTTTCAAAGAAAAAAAATAGGATAGTAAATAGTCTCATCAATAACTGTCTAACAACCAGCATCACCTCTGTTTCACACTTGGCCTAAGACTTGCAAAAAAGAATTCTCCATAATGAAGTTACATACTATTATGCTACAAAAAAATGCTGTTTCTTCTTTTGCTGGGTATTATGGTAATTCCATTAAGTATAGTATTTGACTACTGAACTTCATAATGTTTGAAGATGATTGATAAGAATCTTTTAGTATTTGATCTTAGGGAGTGTAAACATCCTAATAAAAACATTTCTATAAATTACAGTTTAAAATCAGTATAATTAAATATGGTGCAGGAAGACTGGGAACAAACCTTCTACACCAGCAGTTAAATGACAAGAGGGGTTTACAGGTTAGGATTCTATCTTAAATCATTTTGTGTCTTTCTGAAATACATGTTAATAGTAAAATCTTAATATTTCTGGAGAGTATGTAATTTATTTCTAATCCAGAATTCCTGTGCATGTAATTTATTTACAAATTACTTTGTCTGAAAAAGACCACAGAGACACTAAATCTAGAAAATGTCTTTCAAAATGGTGGGAATCTTTAGAGGAAAAATTTCTGTGATGGTGCTCGCGGTGAGTGAGTTCTGTGTGTAATTTCTGCTGGCAACACTTCAGTAAAACAAGTGTTAGCCCTTTCAGATGGACTTGCTCTTCTTTTGACGCACTGTTGGGTCCCTGCTGCATTCCATTTGCACTCCAACTGGTGAGTGTAGGAATTGTAAAGTCACACCTTTTCATTTTATCTATTCTTTAGTTTCCTTTAAGAAGTTTTAAAAGGGAGAAGAGGTGTTTCATACAGGCTGTTGACTCTCCCTGTACATAAAAATATATTACTTAATACTTGTATATTCAGTTTAATTACACATTGTTTCTATTTCTGAAAGAAGACTTAACGAAGGGAAAAAAAACAACAGCAATAACATTCATATCTATGGAGCAGCTAACTAGTATACATAATATTCTGCTTTTCAAACAGAACTAACCATTGTAAAAAAAAAAGTTAAAATTAAATTCAACATGTAAATACTTTTTTTCATTTTACACTGTTGTATTATAAGTGTATATGGTGTTTACTTTTTCAGAACTCTTTCTTACCTGGTAGTTGTCTTGTTTTGAGAATTGTGTTTTTAACTAAGAACCTTCGCTGTCTGTTAGGAAAAACAACAACAAAAGAAATCTTTTTGCAAGTTTTAAATGTGGGTTAACCTTTCTCCATCATCATTTGCATTGTATTCATCCTTATTTTCATTGTAAAGTACTTTATCAAAAGGTTTTATTTTCCATTCTACCCTCCCATCAGTCCCTGTGTTTTAGAAGGCAGTTTTTTTTTTTCTTAAAAGAAATCATAGAAATGACATTTTTTCAACTGAAGAAAAATAAAACTTTACATTTATAATAGCCAATAGCATTTCAGCACATTTTTTTTTGTTATCCTGGTCTCTCCTATGCTGCTGCTAATGACAATATTATGACTTACTCTACTATTCTAGAACTATTTTTATGTAAGTAATGTATGCTTTCTTGTTTATAAATGCCTGATTTAAAAAAAAAAATAAGAAAAAAGCTTGGCATATTTATCTATTTCGCTGTGTACCTTGATAGTCCTTTTACACCCCCTTTTCCACATCCCCTCCCCTTGAGGCAGATAATATTGTAAAATAAAGGACTTTATGAGATTATGTATGAAAATAGCTATGCTTATATACCACAGTGACTGAATGTACAGTGTATAGATGCATTACCTAAAATAAAATTGTTTGTCCAGAAAAAAAAAAGCTTTTTTTGTTTTTTTGTTTTTAGCTCTCTTTAAAACACTTGCAGCCTGAATTGTTCCAGACTAGTCACTGCAGTGACCTTACAGGTATCAGAAAAAGTTCTAGGTACTTCCGTTTGAAAAACAAAAACTTCATAATGTATGTTACATTAAACAACATACACTAATTGACATCCCCCCCACACACAAACGTATAATTGATTCATTATCTTATTTGCCTTAAGTTAATTTCCTGGTTTACACATATAGATGTACCTAAAGCAGTAAGAGTGGTAACAGCAATAACAAACTCTGCTTTACTTCAGTGCTGGGAAGAAAATCCAGTACCAGCTGCACTTGTTGCAAGAATTTCTTCAACCCAGCAGATTAAAAAGGTGCCCTTGGGCAATAGCTATGTTAACATGAGATTATGGGCTGGTGGAATCAGGACACTGTTGGAAACCCTCTGTTCCCCTTCCACCCCCCCCCCCCCAAAAAAAAAAAAAAAAAAGGCTGCTCACTGCTCAGCCTTGCTGCAGCCTAGTCCTTATGCAGCAGAGCTAAGGCATGAAAGACCATGGGTTTGAGTCCACTCCGCACCCCACCCCCTTTTCAGTAAGCCTATCTTTGTGGATATTGAGCAGGCCAGTGTGAGTGTGTGTATGTGTGTGTGTGTGTGTGTGTGTGTGTGTGTGTACACATGCATGTAAAAAAAAAAAAAAAAAAATCAAATTAATGCATAAGTTGTCTTAGCATGACATGTACAACCTCAGAAGTTTGGTGCCATAGACCACTTTCTTATTATATGCTGATACTATTATAAGGCTTAGCAGTTCATTTTAGCTTGCAAGTCAATTTCTTATACCTCAGTTTTTCAGCTCATGCAACTTAAACCTTCTCCCCCCGCCCTCCAAACCTAACAACAACAAAAACATTTTGTGTGGCTTCAGCAGGTGCAAATAAAATTAAATTCTCTCAGATAAAGGAGGGAAGCTCTGACTTCCTGCCATGTTTGAGCTCTTCTTGCCCCCTCCACCCCGACACACGCAAACCACTGACTGACTGACTTACTGCTTTCAACATGCTCAGGCACAGGACCAACCTGAGGTTGAGAGTTACAAGGGCACCTTCTTTGTTGTTGTTGTTGTGTTTTTCCTCCCCCAAACAGCCTAGTAACAAGCCTCTAAAAGGTATCATTTAAACAGCCAATTGGTTTCATCTCTGTTGCATGTGCAATACTGAAAAGCGAAAGGCAATACATTGGAAAAGATGTATCTCTTTGCAGGGAGATTCTAACAAGGCATTAGGTCAGATTTCTACTGATAGTGAGGTGCGTAAGCATAAAAAAAAATTTGTACCAGGTCAAAGAAAAAGAAATACAAGTGAAAAAGGCAGAAAACAGAAGATGGAAACATGTTAAAAAGTAATTCTCGCATGGTCTTCTCAGAAATGGCTGCAGAATTTCCATAGCACTGGTACATTTCTTAACATGCCCTTGTAAAGCAGTGGAAAAGCCAGAGAATGAGCAAACAACACTTAAAAATTTTCTACTTTATATTTCTGATTCATGCAGCCTTATTTTCTGAGGGGGTTTGTATCTTCCCTCTTTCTACCACCTGGCTATTAACAGCGGGCACAATCAGGGTAAGCTTCTCTATGGGAGGTGAAATTTCTTAAAAGTTCAGGGACTGTCAAATTGATACAAGGCAATAGCTGTATTCTTCCAACATGTCCCAAAATATCTCTTTCCTATTGATCCCCCCCTCCCCCTTTATTGTTGACAAAATGACTGCAGGCACAAAATGATTTACTGCCTATATTTTTTGCATAAATATTATGGTATTAAAAAGTGATCCAACCATTCCT